TGAATATTAGGTGAAATAGTGAATGAACTTTTAGGAACTATATTATATGTGGAAATACTTGTAAAAATTAGACTTGTACTGCATGCATGATATGGTCACACTTTAAGAGGCATGCTTTGAGAGGCATCCCAAAGTGAGCGATACTGCCCCTGGGGGTTCCTGGAATGATCTGAATGGCTGCAAAAACAGCTACACTTTATTCTGAATTAATTTAATTACTCAGGGACACAGTGATTTTTTTTTTTTTTCTCTGTAAAGGGGGTACTAGGCCAAATAAGTTTAGGAACCTAGGCTTTATGGCATAAGATCATTGAGTGAAATGGTGAGCAGAATCAACTCTGTCGTTTGCTGTTAGACCCGCCACTCCCGTGTTAAAAACAGTTTAAAAACAAGTTAATAAAAAATAAATAAAGTTAACAGCTAATAGATGAATTTATGTTATTTAAATGCACCTGTGAAGAGTAAGGCTTGTTCACTGTTTAACTGACATGTTACTAGTAAATGAGAAAAAGCTTCCTCTCATTTCTTATGAGCTCGGTGCTGCATTTTAATGTATACAAAGGGCTTTCGAAGGTTCATGGGGTTGGGGGGCGTGGGAGTGGGGAGAAGAAAGTTCATCGAAAAATGGAATTAAAAGATAAGAGAATTTTTTCCATGAGTTTTTTGAAGCCAGTGAGACTACAATTTAATGACTTAGTATTTTGCAACATATCAACTTTCATTTTGCAGACAAGTTAGAAAGATATACTCAATTGGAAAGTTTGAAACAAGAAAAAAGTAGAGCTCTTATAATTTGTTCTAATTATAAGATTTTTCAAAGGGCTAAATATATATCTTGTAAGGTGCTGACATCCTTTTGGTTAGTAGCTCAGCACTTAACCGTTGGTGTCCCCTATGTGCTGCTTAAATGTATCTAGTCCATTAAATAATAGCATTTAGAAAATATTAACAGATATGAAAACCAATGTTCAGAATATTTTATTTAGGAATACTATATTGTATGATTCCAAGAGTGCCATGCAGACAACATAGTCTCCATGATGGCATTGCCAGCCTTTACATCTACCTGTGATGGCCCTGGCACTTGAAAGCCACGATTAGAACTAATACAATTAGAATCCATAGGGAGTATTTTAGCTGAATATGAAGGAAAACCACAATATCTAAAAGCCAGAAAATATTTCAAAGGACAGCAGTAGAAGCAGGTTCCTTGGAAGTTATCCTTTTGGCCTTAGCAAGGGATCTTGTGTAAACCTGTGCTAATGCTCAGACAATATTATTATCCTTAGGGAAATATATCTCGTGTTCTACCAATAGGGTTGCCATCATCTTTGCAAGTTAACGTGTGTTCTAAACAATTTCTTAAAAATCCTTACTAGGAAACTACGCTGTATTTGATAAAGAATTGTACACTAGGGTGCCTAACACTATGCTTGTATTTTAGTCAGAGTAAACAGGTCGTCATGGTTGAGATTGTACATTTGAAAAGGAAATCGTTTTAGCACATATAAAGCCACTCATTAGCTTTTGGAAATTTTCAAAGAGGATGTAGACAAGATCCTTCACAATATCCCAAATAGAAAGAGGGGGGAAAACCTCAGCAAACTTAAAAATCTAACTTAGCAAGACAAAGCATGGGTTTCTTTTTTTTTGTTGTTGTTGTTACAGTCATTTTCCTTGCTAAGTAAAGGTTTCAGATCATTACTGATATTTGTCACTATTTGTCTGATTTGATTTTCTCATCTTCATTACTAGGGTTGATTTTGCTGCTGATATTAATGCCAGTAAGAGTAACAGAGACTGTTCAGAACCTGTGGCTAGCACTAATTTAGA